CAGGTTAGAACAATGAAGTAACACTCTGGTCTAATACTTATACTAACGTTTGACTTTCGTAGACCGATTAAGAGAGGAGTTGGTAGATAGTAGAGAAAAGTCCACACTCATTTATGACTCCATTCAAGGACAAAAAAAATTGTTTTGAGTTTTTTGGAGTGATGTCGTAGACTTCCAGCATATATAACTTGCCGCCACATTTCATAACAGAAGCTAAAATGAACAAAAATTATGCAGCGATTTTGAGACAAAAATATAAACTAATTTCTGAATTAATAAATGGAACAGCAAGGTTTCGGAAGCATGAGGGTGATAAAGGGATGAAAGATTACCTTTTTATAGATGGAGATTCACTGCCTCTAAGAGAGATAAGAAGCACCTAATGAATAAATGCTTGGTGTTGGCCTAAGGAGTAAAGAAAGTTGTTGGTGGTAATGGATCAATGCATCATGTAAGGTTTCAAATGAGATGAATTGCAGACGAAACGGCCTAACGAACGACACAAACAGAGTTTGATCGAGAGATTCCTGAAGATTCGTCTCAGGCAACCTCCTGAAACTCAATTGTGGGTTGAGGTCTTGAGAGATCGAAGAAGAAGATGGATCTGAAACTCGGAGCGTTTCAGTTGATTAACCAGAACAACGCACAATCGAAGAGCACAAAAGAGATATGTCATGCACATGTGAGGGAATCGATACCTCTAAACTACAAAACACAGAAGCTTTGGTGTCGATGAGGGAAGAAGAACTGAAACCCTAGCATTAGCGTGAATCTCATAGAGCCGAAATTCGCCCATCATTACTGGGCTCGAAACTGTATCAAAACCAATGCAGTAGCCCATTACTTTAATTAAACGTTGAGTTTTGTCCGAAGAGAACACGTGTCCTCATGTGCTTTCACTATTTTCTGACGTGGATGACTCTAGAGAGAGTGAACATTTCTTTATAATAATAGATTTAATTACGAGTAAGTAGTAACATTTCAAAATTATTCGTTTTTAAACATTAACTTGTTTGAATAATATTACAATAACAGGCCCATCAATATTTCAGTTTTGGACTAAAATCCACTAACTTGTTGAACTCGGACAAACGCACGCTATTTACTTCGTTCGGTCTGACGAGAAAATATTAGGGTTTGAAAAGCTGCAGTGTATCCGCCATGAAAACACAGCAGCACAGCGCTGAGATCCCAGTTGATCTCATCTTCGAAATACAATACTCTTGAGATTGCCGACCAAGTCTATCGCGAGATGTCGTTGCGTATCGAAGTTATGGGCTTCCATACTCGTCCGTACAGATTTCACGGAGTCCTTCATGACAAGGTCTCAGGCCCGTCCCCAGATCTTGTTCTCCTTCCAAAAAAAAATGTGATTACTTCTTCTTTTTGGCGCCTCAGGTTCAAAATAGCTCGTCTCTTGTAGCCAAGAATCATCATATAAAACTCCCCCTTGATGGTTCCTCACAAATTTGCGGTCTTGTACGCGGTTCAGTCTATCTTACACGTTATTCACGTGTGATGAACGAAACAGTTTCTGCGATATGTAACCTTAGCACAGGACAAGCCATTCATTTACCCAATGTGAAGACAAACAGTTTTTGCGCTAAGAGTTATCTTGGGTTTGATCCCATTCGTAAGCAATTCAAAATATTATTAATCACCAGGTCAGTTGTTAAAGAGCAAAGTTTGCGAGAAAGAGTTTCTATTGAGCATCGAGTTCTAACATTAGGGACTTCAAATCCTACATGGAGAAATATTAAATGTTATCACAATTCATATTGCTATTCTTATAACGGTGGGATATGCATCAAAGGTGGTTTATATTACGTAGCTGCGGTCAATTATGAGTATCCATTCATTAATGCCATATTTGGTTTTGATGTTACGTCTGAAAAGTTCAGAATTGTTTACAAAGCTCAGGACATGGTACTGTTAAGTGACTCGACTCTTGTAAACTACAAGGGTAAATTAGGTGTAGTCGGCGTTGGAGTAGTTACAAGAGAAACTACGAGTTTTGAGTTGTGGGTTTTAGTAGACGCTGAGAGACATGAATGGTCGAAGTATTTATATGTGTTGCCCCCTATGTGGAAGAATGTAGTTCCCGAGTCAGATTTAAGCTTTGTTGGGTTGACATGTGAAGGTGAATTTGTGTTTTCGACGCTCTATCTATGCGATCCTTTCTATGTCTACTACTATAACTTCGAGGGCAATACTGTCACAAGGGTTGAAATTCAAGGAATGAGTGCGTTTAAGCATTGTAGAGTTCAGGCATCTTTAGACCATGTAGAGGACGTGAAACTTATGCAAAATGTGTAAGCTTTTATTTATTCAGGTAAATACCACATTGAGATTACAATAGAGAAGAAGAGAAGTGAAGACTTTAAGCAGATCCATCGGAGCCCTGGCATTACCCGTTAATCTTTATTTCCCGAGTGTTTTTTAATTGTTATTTTATTTGAATACATTTTAGGTAAGTAAAGTTGCATTTATTTAGTGTGTTCCATCAAGATCTTTCAAGAGAGGTGAATTTCCTTTCCAGTTAGTGTTTCTTTTTTTTGTCTTCTTTTGAGTTTGAAAAGTCAACTCGTTGTGCAGATTCTAATACGAGATTCCCGTATGTAGATCAATGTTCAAGTAACACAAAGATCTATAAACTGATCACTTGTAAGAAATTGATGAACAAGAGCAATCTCCACGTATGAATTCAATACAATTTCCTAGAAAGTACAAAAGAAAGTGATATGAATTCTGTTACACAATTTTTTGAAATGAATCTACTCAACTTACGGCGGATTCTCGCCGGGCTAAACTCCGTCGTGATGGTGAGGAAGTAGAGGATGAGGAAGAGAAACAGCCGACGAGTCATCAGTTCAGTGAAGTTCCTCCTCGATTGACTTGAGATTTTTTTTCGTAGGAAGCGAGAGCGAAAGAGAGATAGAGAAATGACGAAGAAAGACTGTATAACGTCTCGACCGTCCACGACTAATGGGCCATCCACGTCCGTTCTTTTGGTCCGTGGGTCCCATCTCGTTCCGTTCCAACGATCGATCCGTTAATTTTCTAATGCTTTAGAGTCATGTTTACCGACCATGCAATCATCACATGACATTTCCCCGTGTATTGGCCTCACTTACACAGTATCGCAAATCACTTTCTGATAGGTTACCCATCATTTAACTACTCCAGCTCAAGCACGCTTAACTTCTTTCCCCGTGCTTTGGCCTCACTTACACGCGGTATCGCAAATCACTTCCCGATAGGTTACCATCATTTAACTACTCCAGCTCAAGCACGCTTAACTCTGGAGTTCTCTCTGGATGTGCTCCCGAAAAGGTAAGTGCACTTTGGTGATATAGGTAGCCAAATCAATCCTCTTAAACCTTTCCATATATCACAACTCGGGATGTTACAATGCACCTCCTCTTAAAGAACGCAACGTCCCTGTTGCGCTCCTCGACAGGTCTCAAGACGCCTCTCAGGTCAAAACTGAGATGGCTAACCAGCTCTGATACCACTTATAACGCCCCGACTGCCCACGGCTAATGGACCACCCACGTCCGTTCTCTCGGCCTATGAGCACCATCCCTTAGTCATGTTTACTGATCCTACAAAAACGTACATGACCTTTCCCCGTGCTTTGGTCTCACTTACACGGTATCGCAAATCACTTCCCGATATGTCACCTATCCTTTGACTACTCCAGCTCAAACACGCTTAACTCTGGAGTTCTCTCTGGATGTGCTTCTGAAAAGGTAAGTGCACTTTGGTGATATAGGTAGCCAAATCAATCCTCTTAAGCATTTCCATATATCACAACTCAGGATGTTACAGACTGATTTTCTCAAAAGCCGACTAGTGTTAACAAGAAATGCCTCTTATGACCTTAATTAAGACATGGATTTTCTATAATTATGTATTTTTCATTTTTTTTAAATCAAAAATTCCTTAAGAGACTCCTTAAAGCACTGTGATAATGGTGCTCTTAGAGATCATAATTAATCCAGTCTTTTAATTGGGTTTTTTAGATTCGGTTAAAAAATAATTATTAGTTTTTCTTAGATTTTAATTAAGAAAAATTAAGAACTATCTTTTAAATAAAAAATATAGGAACGTTTCTTAGTCGAAAAATGTAAAAAAAAAAAGTCAAATCATGAGTTAAAAACATGTTCTTCACTCTGTTCCGTCACTTGCCAGCTGTCTACAGCATCCAAGTGTCTTCATTTCGCATCTTCTATGTTTCTTGTACTAGATTCATCCTGGGATGATAGAACTATTGTTATTGCCAACTTTTCTCAAATACTAATCCAAAACAGAGCATCTATGCTAAAACACATTCTTTAGGCAAATCAGAGAGACGAGAGTCTTCTTAGTCTCTCATATCTAAGAATAGTCAGTAGAATGATTAATTATCAAGAAGTAAAAAGATTGAAATGGTGTTGGAGCTAATTAAGTTTAATTATCCTTTTTCAGTTTCTTGTTTTTGTATGTTGAACATTTGATTCTCTCCTCTTATCATCAACATAAAGCACTGGCCTTAGAAGCTTCATTTAAATGGTAGCTTCTTTTGTTATAGAAAGATACGTACACCTCCTCGACCCGAGTTTGATATTAATTGATGGGTTTATTGAAGTTGCACTTATGATCGTGACTTGTGAGTGGTGATTATAGAAAAAAAGTCTATACAGAGAAAGAGAAACCTTTTCTGACATAAAAATATTCGTTCTCAATTTCTGTTCAAAAGTGCTCACAGTATTATCTTCTCTTTTAATAAGGATGAAGATGCTTTTCAAGAAGATTCTTCAACGTGCTCAAGTGACACAGAGATATGGCTGGTTAAGATAAGGAGAGAGAAGGGAAAGGGGTTAAGTAAAAGACAGGCACTAAGTCAGTCTATACCTTAAACTTAACGCTTGAGTAAGCTTAGAGAAAGCTCATTGATATTCACTTCATCTGAAGTCTTTAACAATCCATCACATCCTCTTATCGTTTAAACATGCCAGAGAAATATGATTATGACGAAATAAATAGATCAAATCATGCAAACACTGGATAGGTTACAAGGAGACCACTCTCATAAAATCAAATAATAATCATCTAAAACAAGACCAAAAGAATTTAGAATTTATCCTCTTAACCAGATAGCAACTAAGTCGTAGAAAGCTACAAAGAAAACACTAAAATCTCGTGAAAGAAATCCACACACAAAGTTGACACCATGAAAAGATACAAGTCTCCTAAGATAAGCTAGAGATGTGAAAAGCAAACATACTAATACTCTGTAAGAAGATTGGTTCTTCATCAACATCATAGGCCACCAAACTACACCCTGATCAAAGATGGAGGCTACGTCGTCAAGAAAGTCCACAACTTCTTACCAATGGACACATTCCCGGGATGTTCTGTTTCCGATTCATCTTCCTCACTATCGTTTCCATCCCTTTCAGGTGTTCTGTTCACAACATCTTCTTCACTAGCTGCTGCACTCTCACCTGTTCTTTTGGGCGAACCAGCATCTGTCTCCTCAGAGTCTGCCATGCCTTCAAGCTAATATTGTTACATGAAAGAAACAGATTGGTCAGGATACAAAAGAAAAGGTAAAAACAAAACTTGCAGCTAAGTTGTCAGAGCAAATCTTACCTCCACCACATTCGCAGTTACTGCATTATCGCTAACAGCAACACCTACTGATGCTGTTGCAGTGGTTTGAGCACAGTTAATACCATCCTCTTGTTGTTGCACTCCATCAGCCTCTTCATTCTTCTTACCAATTGCAGTTTTTCCAGCCACCCTAACATGTGAAAACAGATATTAACAGCCTGAACTAATTATATTATCCTCAAGGGCTCTGTCTGAATATAATTGGGATCTGAAGTAACCTTTTGGATCGACGGAGATTATATCTTTGTTCCACCACTTCTTGTTGTTCTGCTGCAACTTTTTGCCGTCTCTTCCCACGCTGGCGTTCTCCTCCGGTGACACTATCTGATTTGCCATCACTCTCGTTACCATCCTGCTCAGTAGTACAAGTTCTCAAAGAGCCCACACGTCCACGTTTCCGTCCGTTCTTTGAAGCACCTTTGTCAGGCTCACCCGTGCTTACATCATCGCCATCATTGAATTCTATAGATTTTCCATAGATAGCTTTAGCATCTTCCACAACAGCTTTGACAGAGCGTGTCCTTCTGATTCTCACTTTCCCTCTCAAGCGTGATTGACCATCAGCATTTAGAGCAACTTCCTCAGCCTTGCTGTCTACGTTGCTTTCACCACCATCTGAATTATCATTCCTGACCTCGACTTCTCTTGTGTCGCTTTCAGATTGAGCCGGAAGCATAGTTGATGGTCCACTGTTGACGTTAACTTGCTCAGTAGACTGAGGTTCTTGGTCAGCAAAATTCAGAGTAGCAGAAGTGTCTGCCATTTTTATTGGGGACAACTTAAGAATCTTTGAAGTACATTTCCTGAGCCATGACACCGTCCCACCTTGAACTGGCAAAGCTAAGTTGGTAGCAGTTGGTGATATATCCCTCATCTCCTGCTTCGGTGCTTCTTCCTGAATAATGTTTGCCAGTTTTGACAAATCAGGCATTTCAAGATTGTCAATGTCAGGAAGCGCTGAAAGCAGTTCACCACAAGGGTTGCAGTTCCCATTACTTTCCATGGAAGAAAGAAAACGGTTTCTCTCGCTAATAAACTGTTCACGCTGTTCCTTGAGTTTCTTGGTTAAGGCAACGAGGTCATCAACATCTTTCCGAATTTCTGTCTGCTGCTCTTCAAGATGTTTCTTACTAGCATCAATTTCTAGCTTTTCTTTCTCTATTCTCAGTCTATCGCTCTGCACTTCCGTCATTTCTCTTCTTGCTACGTCTCTTAGGTAATTGATATTGCTCAACTCCTTCTCCCTCTCTTCTTCAAACAGCTTCTCCTTGGCTTGCAGCTCCCTTTCTCTTTCTTCCAATTTACTCTGCATATCAGACTCGAGTTTCCTTTTGAGCATTTCAACATCATGAAGCAGTTGACTTCTTTCGCTCTCAGCTTTCTTAGAGATCACTGAACGCTCATACTCCATAGTATCTGCAAATGCAGCTTTTGCGACTTCAAGAGTTTCTAACTCCCTTTTCATGTTGTCAATTGCCTCTTGCTTCTCATTTCTCAGTCTTTCTTCTTCCAAGTGTGTGTTTCTCTCTAGTTTTTCTTTCTGATCAGCTAATTTCTTTAGTTCGGCTTCAATCTCAGCTTTCTTCTCATCAAGTTCTTCCCATTCTTTCTCAAAACATTCCCTTTGGGCCTTCAGATCATCAACCTCTTTCGAAAGCAGCTCCTGTTGGGACCTGCACTTTTCTATTTGCTCCTTTAATTCGGTTTGCAGACGAAGATACTCAGACCTCTCCTCCTCGGTAACTTTAAGCTCTTCCTTCTCCTTGCGAATTTCTGATAGATGTACTTCGTTTTCAGCCCTTATCTTCTCGACTTCAGCTATAAGACTGAGAATATTTTCTTTATCCTCAGCTAGTTTTCTCTTCTCAGTCTCCAATGCCTTCTCCTCGCTTTTCAAGGCTTTCTCTCTGCCAGTTATGTCTTTCAGTCTTAATTCAAAAGCTTTTTCCTTTTCTTTATGCTTCTCCAGTTTCTTATCTAATGCCTGTTCACGTTTAGCGACTTTCTCTTCCATGTGCTTCCACTCAGCCTCCCTCTTTTCCACCTCAACAACCCTGCTCCTCAAGCTGTCATCAACAGATCTTCTTTTCTCCTCCATTTCCATTTCAAACTCACGCTCTGCTGCCTCCAGTTTAGCTTTGTGTTCATCAACTAGTTGCTGAACTGCAACCTGTCAAGTAGCCAACACTAGCACAGTCAAAACTCTGAATACACAAATATGTAATACTCATAAGTGAGGGAGACAGGGCTTGCCTTTTCTCTGGCGTCCAGTTTCTCTTGCAAAGCTAGTAGCTCTCGCTCTTTTGTCTCTATGGATTTCTTCAGCACATCAGTTTCCTACATCCAGAAAAGTATGTAAATGTACAAGATTCTAAACATTTTTAATAATAATAAATGGCAGAATAAAAAGAAGTAGCTTACTTTCTCCCTTAAAGCAACAGCTTTTATCCTTGAGCTGATATCATCTTCCTTTTTCTTCAAAGCGAAGTTAGCAGCATCAATCTTCTTTTGTGCCTCTTCAAGTTCTTTTCCCTTTTGCTTGATAATCTTGTCACTTTCATTTGCCCTATCCTCTCTCTGCTTTATAATCATCTGAGACTTAGCAACTCTTTCTTCTCCTTCTTGCAACTTTCTCTCCCATTCACGCAAGTCCTCCCTCTGCTTTGTCAAATTCGCCTCCTCTGCTTCTCGTCTGAAGCAAAAAAATAAACAAGTTAAACCAATGAAGTCATCCCACAGCGACAAGCAAGGAAGCTGGACAAAGATAAAAAGATACTTACTCAGTTATGTGGGAAAGCCGCTCCCTTTGAAGGGAACTTTCTCGAGCTTCCACATCTTTGGACCTTCTCTCTACCTCCGAACTCTTTCTGCTAACTTCAGCAAGTCTTGCATCAACAGCACGCAGCTTGGCCTCAACTTCGAGAGATTTCTCTTCAACGCTTCTAACCAATGCATTTGCTTCCATCAACTTTGAGTCAGCCGTAAATTTGTTCTCTGCGTTTTCAGAGCGTAGTTCTCGCAGAGCCTTCTCCAACTGCACCAGTTTTAAGAGTGTCATAAATCAAAGAAAACAATAATACATACTGAAAGTTTGTAATAAAAAATGATGTAAGTGCCTGAATCACTTGGTAAAAAGGTAACTATTCAATCTTCTACAGGAATTGAGAAACATAAAGAAAAAAAAAAAGAAACTTGGAAGTTGGTATCTTACATCAGATACACATTGCTTCTCAATCCCCAGAGCTTTCCTCAACCCTTCTTCCCGCTTCTCAACATCTGCCATAGCAACCATGTGTGCGTTACGTTCACGCTTAAGGCACTGGTTAGCCTCATCAAACTCATCTTGAAGCTCTTCAAATTTGGAACTCCACTCCTTTTTCTCCAGCAGAAGAAGACCCATATTGTGTTGGTATTCAAAAAGCTGTTTAAACAGATCAACAAATAAAGTTATATAGCCAACCAAGTAGAGGCAGTAACAGTAAGAATCATCCGCAGTTAACAAATTCACATCCAGCCATCAGTTAATGAAATTTTTACAGATCCTTGAATTATACAGTGTGACGTGAAAGTCAATAAAGGACCCTTTTTTTTTAACAATGCATATGCGCTTGACAACCGTAACCAACATTCAATACCCAACTGTTACAAAGATCAACGGAGACCAAAAAAAAACAAAAACCAAAAAAAGGCTAAAACAAACCCCAACAGAAAGAGAAAAATAACGAACCAAAACAGAACAGATCACACAATAAAAAGCAAACCTCTTTTTCAAGCTCTGAAACTCGATCACCCGATCTTCTTGGATCATCATCGTACTGGATCTCACTCACCATCCCCGAAACCTTCCCATTCGAATCTGCGTTCGTCCCTTTCGTTGGAGTAGACCAACGCTGCCACACCTTCAGAGGCGTGGACATCCTTTCCCAATTCAAACAACCAGAGATCTATAAAAACCCTAACTTTCTCTCACCCAACACTCCAAACAACCTGAATTCCAAAATTGAACTCCAGAAATCAAAAACCCAAATGCCCAAATCTTAAGAACTTCACTCTCTCTCTGTAAATTTTGCAATAGAATAAGAAGGAAACAGAGAAAGGTTTATCCTTTTTCTTGAAGACTCCGGATTTAAACGGAGTTCCTAAATTCCGGTACCGAAAACTGGTTTCAAGTCCGGGAACGTCTCTACGCAACCTCTCTCTCTCTCTTCTTCGCTGCGCTGGAAAATCCTTTTTTGTGTGGCTCGCGCGGATCGTTTCACGTTCTTCTCTCTCTTTTATCTTATTTTTTTATATAAGTGGACCCCTGATTTTCTCTTTTATTTACTTTTTGGGCCGCCGTCTTACTTGTTTGCTTGAAGGTTCCCAAGGGTATATCTGGGATTTTGGGATTTACAACGGTTATGCGCTACAACTGTTTACTTTTGTTTATGACGAAACTACCCCTTGTGATGCAGAGTAGTTTTGGACTCTGACTCGGTGGGGTGATGCTGATTCGGTGAGGCTAGTTTTGGAGTTTTGCTTACTGATTGAAAAAGGATAAAAACGGATAATAACAAACATTAATATTATGGTTATTGTGTGATATAGTTACCAAAAAGGAAAAATATACCAAGATTTTGTTCATTAGTTGTGATTTGATTTATTTTTGCTTTCTAAAATTTTAATCGAAGCTTGAGCTTAATCTGCTTAGACGTGCGGATTTTAATTTATACATTTTTTGTAAGTTATTTAGTGACATATTTAAATATATAAATTATTTGTATATTTTTAGATTTTTAGGAATCTACCTAGATTCGAAATGATCCTATTTTGATGTTCTATTTCGTACTATTTTTCCCTCGGAGTTCGATCACACCAAACATCACTCTTCAAATGAATCAGAGATTAGTTAGGATTATGATGGAAGATGACATACGACACAACGTATTTATGTTACATCCGGAAAATGTCCTTAATCCAGATAGAATAACAACTCTTTATTCTAGCACTCTTGGCCTATTGTTAAGAAGGATCTACTTGATCTGATAAATATTTTTTTGAGAAAATGTCAAGTTTATTCAAATAAAAGAAAAATGTACAACTTATGTATTGTGTTCAGTGTTCAAGTATAAACAGAGATACCAAACGTAGTGAAAGCTTTGGCTAATGATTAAAGTAGGACTGTCGAGAGGCAAACGAAGCTGTCATGGCCTTATCAAAACGAAGGTGTCATGGCCTCGAGTTATTATTTTATCATTTACCATATTAGTTCTGTTATAAACACGTTTACGTTGGAAAATGGACAATACATAGAAGGTATTAGAGTTAAAAAATAAAGAAAAAGAAAGCCAAGGTGGCTAAGAGCTGTGTGCATATGGGGGTTGTAGACTTTTGTAGTGTTTTGACGCATGTATATGCTCTGTCTCCACGTGACTCGCACATCTTTGTGCTTTTTTAGCTCCTCGTACAACCTCAACTCTGAAACACTATTCAACAAAAGCTAAAGAGTAACTCAAAGGGAAAGATGTTTAAAAAAAAAACTCCAAGGGAGAGATTTCAACATAATGGAGCTCAATATATATATATATGCATATATTTTGAGGACCCTTTTTTGAGAATTTCCCATTGGAATTGCTCTAATATAATAAAACTGTTACCCAAAAAAAAACTAATTTAGTGAGTCTTCGCAGAAGACTGGTCAACTAAATTACGGGCCAAACTTATCTGTTTTACTGAAGAATTTTTTTAAGTAAGAATGTTTTTTGCACATGAAAAGAATAAGAATATTCATGTCAATTTACTGCGTGAAGGATCATCGTGTGGAAAAGGTAATTTTTGCAGCGGAGGTCAAACACATTTCTTTGCTATCATTTAAATTTTAGCTATTCAGTCAAATTTCATCACAAGCCATATAAACATTCAGCCAGATTCCACATTCAGCTAAATTCAGCTGTTACCATTAACACCTTTTACTTAAAACCTACAATACAACGAATATAAAAAACGTTTCTCAAAAAAAAAAACGAATATAAAAAAAAGAGAAATTATTAGTTTAATCTATTTAGTCTTCTGTTTTGAAAAAAAACTGATGGACCACATGTTGAAAAGAAATGTAAACGAAAGATGCTACAAACAAGTGGGTCGTTGGCTCCCGCCGCCTTCCCGCCATATTAATTAGACTCGTCCCTTTCCATCTACAACTTTGGATGACATTCTTTGTTATCCAAGTTATATCTTATAGCAAAGAGAATGGTTTATTATAAATGAATTAAAATAAATTGATAAGAATCGACGACGGGGGCAATGGAGAGTTAGTGGGCCTACGTGAGAAGAACGTTCGAGTTTAAAGAGCGTCATGACTCTTGAGGGCCGCCTCCTATATTCTTTTCTGACCGTTGCTACTAATATATTTATATCCTTTTTCTTTACAGAATAGTTTTTTGTTGGAATCACTTTTAAAGAAGACGTCATCAAAAAGCATCTTTCAGCTGGCGAACTAATCATCAAATCAAAAATATTGGGCGTGAATGAGACTCCAATTAGAGTAAAACTTGTCACCTGATGAAACTTGTCCCCATTCGTCTCCACTAGTGGAAGTTACTAAGATTTTAATTGAATTTTTGACGATTCTATCTAATTCGAAAGCTTTAGTTCCGTAAAACCTGACATACTAGAATTGATTGACCATATTCAGTAGTTGTCTCAACAGACTTCAAACTTGGGTCAAGGACTCAAGAGAGAGTACAAGTCGAAAGAAGTTTACTAAACGATCTCACTTGATTCGTCATTCAAAAGCTAAAACGGCATAACAACATGCAACAAACACCACCCATGATGGGGGAACGAACTTATATGAAACTTGGGGCAACCGGGCCCTTTGACATGCCAAGACGAACTTCCATCCCGTGGTGGAAGTCTACCGGCTTGAATGTCTCCGAGTCACGAGGATCTGCAAAGGATGAAAGATACTTGTTTCAGATAAACTGATATCAAATTCTAACACATTAACTTCCATGCTTCTTACAAGCATCAAAAAGAATCAAAGTATGGATTTTTCAGCGAAATGTTCTGATAGTAAATATTGAAATACCATCAAACTGGTGTCAACTGATCAAGAGAAATGAATGTAGCATTGAGAAAGATGCAATGCAATAGGAGTAAAGGAAAATTACCGTTCAAGTAATCCTCAAAACCAAAGTTATCAATGGCTCCAGTGCAGACTTCTAAACCTAGCATTGACGATGGAATTGGTCCAGCAGGTCTTTGAAACCTAAATATCAGAAAGAAAAAAAAAAGATACAATGAAAAGAGGTAACAAATACACAGGCAGATAATGCAGCAACACTTTATAACCAATGCTCCCCAGAGCACACATAGGCTATTTCAAGTAAGGGCGCAAGGCAGTTAAATAGCAGTAGTAAACACATAGACACCAGTAATACACACAATTATCATACTGCTAATGCAAAAATGGATAAACGGGACCTTATAAGTCTAAGAACAATACAACCAAAAAATTGTTTTTCACGCCGACAGATCATGGAGCAAACACTTTAGACCTTCTTCTCTCCAATGCACACATAGACAAGCATTAACCGAGTACAAACAAGGCACTTAAACACCAGTAAACCCATTGATACCAGTAAGGCACACAACTATCATACTCTCAAATGAAATCATAGAATAAACGGGACTTTATAAATGTATGTGTCTAACTAAAAACCACAGACTTGCTTCTCACACATACCAAAAACCTTACTTACAAACACTTAGTTTTCGATCATGAGCATCAAATTCAACTAGCTATAGAGATGATATTATTGATCTAGCAGTGTTGTAACTAACACCTAATGTTGAAAAAGAAGAGAAAATCATACCGAGAGAGAATCTGCCTGTCCATATCCATCTTCAAAGGAAGTGCAGACCCGTAGGTATGCCCAATGATCCTCCTCTTCATCTCCTCCTCCGATCTCTTTCCCTATAGTTCAGGATTCACATCGATTTAAAACATGTATGAGTAAGCAAAACAAAACCCTAATTTAGGAAAAATCTAGTAAGATCGAAACCCCAATTTCTACTCTCAAATTAAACTCTAATAGCTATAGAAAGCAAATCTGAAGTTCCTTTATTCTCTGATTAGCTACTCTTTCCCTAGAAAAAAAACAGTATTTTAAACAGATGAACGAGAAAGAAGAGCTCGATTACAGATTCGTAAGAGGATTCGAGTGGGTGAGATCCGACGATGTCGCTCTTAACGCCGCTGAGACCAAATCGAAGAGCGTCTCTTTTGACACCACCGATCTCATGAGCTATCTTCTTCGGAGACTCCATTACTTCTCTCTTTTTTCACCTCTTTGTTTCGTCCTGCTTCCTCTTCCTCTTCCTCTTGTAGCTTCTTCTGCGACTTACTGAGCAAGAAAACTAAAACAGACCAAATCTTATAATGGGCCTTTGTTTCATGAATAAGACAGGCTTTTAGGCCCATTAATATTATAACTGGGCCTATTCAGATCGGCTCTCATGGAATAATCCTCGAAATTTACAGATTACAGCCCTTTTAGATTTTATTTACGTACTAAACATCTTATTCACATTAGAAAAAAAGAAAAAAAAGAAGAGAATTCTGGTAAAGTTCTTCAGATATCATGTTTCTTAAGTAGAAGCAAGTCTTTGTCCAAAAAAAAAAAGTAGAAGCAAGTCTTTTCCTGTCATGTATTTCACACTATGTATTAACTATTAACTATATATATGAAACTCTAACTCAGATAACCAAAGTATATTTCACATTGTCATTATATGTTTAATAATTATGAATTAAAAAGTTGGAGTGTGATTCAAATCTTTTCTTTAAATTTATCCAATAACTAAACTGTAAATCAGTAAGTGTATTATTTCTATAGAAAGACACCCGGACGCAGTGGAGGTCACTCAGTCAATGTCAGACTAGGTGATAAAAAAATTATTAAAACTGTACCATATGGAAAAACAACAGTGTGAATATTTAAATCAGCTATTTCGGCGAGTTTATTTCATAGGGTGATCTGACAAAAGAAATTTTATATAATATAAAGTTACTTACAGTTTTCGACAAAATCTTTTGAGATAATCGGTTTCCAGGCATGTGTTAATTAAATATTCTAGATTATTCATAGGTACTTAACTAATCCGACTAGCCAAGTCTAGATATTAAAATGTCAGTACAGCTCCTACTTGCTTTGAAGAAGAACAAGCACATAAAGAAGAAAAAAGCAACAACATTGATATTTTTTATATACTAAAATGAAATGAAACATTGAAGAAGCATTCGAGATCGTCATATAATTAATTATCAGTAGAGGTGATCACTAAACTGAACCTAAGTTGAAGGATTTGACATGAAGTATTGAAAATTCCAAACAGTAGTCAATCAATTAGATCAGTATTTTGAGATAGTTGAAATCAAAGAAAATATAAATGAAAAGGAAAGCTGGATTAAGGTTTTTGCTAAAAAAGGTAGGCTGGATCTCTTAAACTAAGTAAGTAAACTAATGCATATATTAAATTTAAGTGTAATCATTAGGTTTTAAGATGTGACGTTTGTTTTTGATTTAGGGTTTATATTCAGACTATTTTGCTTATTGAAAACAAGAGATTATTTACATTTTTTTTCTCAAAGAGATTATTTAAATAATTCTATGTTTCATACAAAATATCATTTTAACACTTTTTCTTGTTACATAAAGAATATCACTTTATAGTTATAATGAAATTTTATCTATTTCAGTTTTAATATTAATTACAAAATATTTTAATTTTATAAATAATTTTATTTATCTTATTTACATAACTCTATGTTTCATACAAAATATCATTTTAACACTTTTTCTTGTTACATAAAGAATAACACTTTATAATTATAATGTAATTATATCTATTTGAATTTTAATATTGATTACAAAATATTTAGTTTTCTTAATAATTATAGGTTTAACCAAAACAGTTAAGTTACATTTAGTTGGTAACAAACCCGAAAACAGAAACTCTTTCACATTTTTCATGTGGTTTTGGTCGTTTTCTCCTAATTGACAACAAATGTTTTCCCAACTTTTTTAAAACTATTTTATAAAGGAAATTAAGGAAACGTTAACCTTTACTCTTTTTTTTTTCTTGAACAAACACTGTATTCTACTTCAAAATGCTATTCAAGTTTAAGAATACTAACCTTTGTTAACCTATTTTATAAAGGAAATTAAGGAAACGTTAACCTTTGTTCAAGTTTAAGAATACTAACGAATAAAAGCAGGCAAATAAACACTAAAAAGAAACAATATGAATACAAGACTGAAAATTCATTTACAAACTTACACACATATCAATTACCAACTCTAGTTAACTTTCTTTTGACTGCTTATATATATTTCTTCAAGATGACAACGATATTCTGTTTTGAAGAAACGAGGAACAATTTTCAAAGGTACCTCTCCATCTCTTTCTACCTCTATTTCTCATCAGCTGCATTAGTTTTTATTTTTGTATATCCTTGTCTGGATTTTAGAGAGCATTTTCCTTTGTTTTTAGTTCGTTTCAAGAATTGCCTAGTGGCTTTGTGTAACCGTTAATGTCCAAATTAAAGCTTTAAGATTGATTGGTTAAATATGTACGAGCATGAGTCATCTAAAATATACTCAGTTTTATTTAAGTCTTAGTGAGAGACTTTCAGTGAACTTTAGTAGTGTTTCATTTTTTTTTTTTACATCAAATAGCTTTTGAAAAGGTTTATACTTCTTATTCATCCAAAACTATTATGCAAATATAAGGACTTGATGGATAACATACAATCCAAGAGAAAAACGTTACTAGTCTGTTTTTTCAGCTATCGGAGCTGAGTCTGTAAATTATTGTTTCGGAAATCTATTCTGAATTCTAAGCTTATGTCTAGTTGTAATGTATAGTAACTAAACGATTTCAACTATGCTGAGTATACAAACTATCTGTCTTTCACGTGTGCGCTAACACCAGAAATAAAAGCGTAATAGAATACACAAACAAGAGAATATGCATAACAACATTTTCACTAGCCGTAGCTATGTTGTCCGTGACAAAAATCATTAGTCTTGCTTTAATATTATCACATAATCTATCATGTTTTACCCATATATGATTCCAAACCAACTCGACCTAAAGGTCATAGTTTCCAGGTTTCCGCCATCAACACATAGCTAAGTTAGAGAGATTTGCAATGTCCATATTTCTTTTGGGATTGGACCTGTTAAAGTACTGAAGTTGTGAATTCTTTTTCTTATTGTGAAAACAAAATAAACGGTTTCCTACGGAAGTTTGACGAAATCATCACGTTGTCAGAGCATATATATTGTTTGCAAACATGTATAATTTACATAGATGTATATTGTTCTTTGGAAGATGTGGTTAATGCATTTTTCTGGTATAGTTAGCTATTTTTAAAAACAAAAATAAGAAAAGATTAGCTAAGCTAAAATTACAATGTTCATATTTATTGGAATAAGTTGTTGGAACACATCAGTTTTAGCATAAAAAGTCGTTTTCAGTTTATTTATACATATAAATGGTGTATCTTATTTATAAAGCTAAGTATTAGAAGCCTCAAACTTTGAATTCTCTTGAAATATTTCTTTAAAACGAATAAACAAACACATTTTTATATCTTTGATGTTTTTCCGTCTCACACACCTTTTCAGATTTGAACTTGTGTTATGATACTGCGGCAACATAGTATACTAACTATAAGCTAGCTTGATTTTCAAATGAGTTGTGGTAAGATATGATTATTTTATAGAGGTAAACAGCGTTTGCAGTCTCCCGATTAGATTCTAAACTACAATTAAAGTTGAAATGAATACCCGTGAATGGTTAATGTTCACAAAATTTTGAAGCAGTAGGCGACTAATAAAGATATTTGTCAAAAAGTGACTTAAACAGATCACTTTAAAACATTGAACTTTCCTTTGGTAACTACTGATATAAAGAAGTTTAACCTAAACAAGTCTGTGTTCAAAAAAAAAAAAAACCTAAACAAGTCTTACAATCATTCATATTCGAGAATGCAGAAGTTAACGATCCTATTTTCCCAAAAACAACAAAGTTTAAACGCCATTATAAAACCAAATAATATATACCTCCAAAAGGCAAAAGCATTTAAATTACTGCAAAAGATCCTTATTTGAGCAAGAGAATAGATATACATCTCTAGAAAATATCAAAGTTAAGATGGCTAAATCATAAACAAAGACACGCTTCCACAGTTCACACACACTAGTGCTAAGTTTCATTTCATAACTTAATCAAACTTTACATCTGTGTGTATGTGTGGATATATACTTGTACAAGTAATTCTTCAATATTTCAAGTGATCCTTCAATATTTATCATCATGCATGTGTAATTATGTGGGTCCTAATGGAAACTAGGGTTTGAGGAATCGAACCTAATATAGAGCTGCATGTAAAACGTTGAATTGTAAACTGGCTAGTCTTAAAGATTGCTGTGTGTATACCTACTCGAATTATGAATGTCGGAAGGGACTGGATTTCGCCAAATATATAAATCATTTATGGCTCATCTTCAGATTACTTTAAAGGCACTTTAAGTAATAAATCTTAAGATTGAAAACTTAATCTTAAAAAAGAAATCTTGATCAATGTCACAGAAGATCAGATAACATGTGTCCAAGAACACAAATAACTAACGATTTGATATACATACAAGAGAGAACACACGATTATTTTGCCTTACATGTTTAGGGTTGATGCTTACTGCTCCGAAAATATCAAGATTTATGGGAACCCTGCCAGATAAAACAAGAAAAAGAAACATATCATGGAATGCAAAGACATATATATATATATATATATATATATGAATAATAATTTAGGCTAGAGAAGAGTCTTAAAACCCAAAATTTACCCCTGGGGAAACTCGTGTTGGTGGTTGCACAAAAAGGCTGATCAATAAAAGGGTTTCGATCATAATAAAAATCCAAGTTTTGAGGCAGAATATTGTTGTAGTTGCTGCTAGAACTCTGATCTTTCAGCATAAACATCCCATAATTCTGGTTGTAACTTTGGTCCATATTGGTGGGAAGATTCTCCTTTGCCTTGCTTAAGACACATTCTTGACTATCAAACTCTTGGGTTGTTTCCTTGTAGAGAGAATGTTTCATTTCTTCTCCTTCATTGAAGATTAATATAGATCTCTTGAGCGGGTCAATGATTTCAGTTTGTGTGATCTCGGAGATCGTTTCTGGATGATCATAGGTCATCTCCTTTGCCTTTCCTCTAGCTTTGGCTCTTGATCCCTTTGAAGATATGTTGCTCACTTCAATCTTTGTCTTTCTCTTCTTTTCCTTCTTGACCTCACACACCACTTCTTCTTTGCAAGAATCAGGGCTTGAAACATACACAAAGGTCCTATCTCCATCATCATCATCCTCCTCTTCAACGTCACCTCCTATGTTTCCAAAATCTCCATCAGTGTTGTTGAGATTTTTTTCTTGGACAAGCTCCTTTATGTCTCTTCTTGATTTCTTGAGTAGCCAGTCTAATGTTTTACTGGCTTTATCAAACCCCAACATGTCCTGAAGATCGAAAAACTGGCGAGCAATTCCAATAGAAAGCCTTACCCTCCTGTCTCTAAGACCTTGTGCCGTATGAATCTTGCTATGCCTATCTTTCTTCACCGCCTTCTTGATTTCTCTAGTCACCTCAGGAATCTCGAAACCTTGCTGTTTCAAAGCACCGTTTGAGCTAAACGGCATGTAGTTGATAAGAGACTGATCAGGCACGGGTGATACCATTTGGCTAGGAGATACTGTTGACTGATGATTGTAGGGGTTACGGATGATGTCTTGATGGCCAGATAGTGAAGAAAGGTAAAGAGAGAGAGGGTACACTCCATTGTTACCATTATTGTAATCATTGTTGGAAGAAGACATCACCAAGCTTAAGGAGGAGCTTCACAAATCAAGAATCAAGAATCAAGAATTATCGTTTTATTTTAGAAGTAAGACCACAACTTTCACATCAACCAAAAGAGAGAATCAACTAAAAAAAGGAAAGAGAACAGAAGAAACCCAGAAGAAAGAGAGAGAGTGTAAGCGTCCAAAAATATTGTATGGTGGGTACTGAGAGAGATGTGTAACAAGAAACTGTTTAACTGTAGAGTGACGAAGACACATGATTTTTTTGTCTGTTTATTGAAGATCTGCTTGGAAGATATGATTCTGGGTCTGATTTAGTAAATATTGTTTCAGTTACAGGTTGATTTCGTAAGCGTAGGGTTTAATTTTTTTTCTTAGGGTTTACGATTCTAGATCCCATACTGGTTAATGCAATTGTATATTGGAATTAACATCAAACTCAACTACTTTTAGTATCATCTAAGAATTGTTTTTACAACTACAAATACAAGTAGGTATTTTCGTATGTAGACTTGGCAATGGCAATATCTGACATGGCAAGTTACAAACTCTACCCATTTTAATGGAATTCACATATTTGGCAAAAAAAGAAAATATATCTGACATGGCTAATAAATTTGAGAACTGGTCCAGAAATATAAAATTCATTTTTTTTTTATAAAAATAAAATTCAACTACCGAAAACGACCTGTGAAAGGATTTGTTTCCATTTCGATTATTAAGACAGGTCTTTTAAGAGTCAAACATTCAAAGATGTTCTTGAATGTACAGTATTTTTTGTAATTGTTGTTCTCTTAGAATCTGCTTTTCTTTCGATTTATTTTTTATATATAGATCAACTATTATTTTGTCCAGTGGTCCTTTTATCTAATGGTTACTAATTCTTCCTGTTTGATATGAAAATGAAAATTCAACTCGTTATATTTTGGGATTTTTAAAATTATTTATGAAGGAAGATAGTTTCCTATTTGGTGAAAGTTTTTTCTCCGGAATATATTGCACAGTGTATATAACATAAACATTGGAGTATCCTTTTTCTAGGGCTTTGTCAAAAGAAAAAGAAACTTTAATGTGACCTGAGTTGGTTCCCCCGTACGATTACATAAAGATTGTGAAAGGATTTGTCCTTTTCAAATTTTCATTTTCACGTCCCTAGATACTAGTCAAGAGTTGTTCGTATTTCAGTGGGCACAACACTCAGTTTTATATTTATCTGCAAAACTACATAAAATAAAATGTTTAATTTAAGCAAATTGTTTACAATTTTATAAGTAATTAAAATTTGATCGTTTATAGGGTAAAGTTGAGATAATTCTATAATATGAATCTTAAATTTGAGGAAATGTATCTTCTTAAAGCTATCGAATTTAGCTTTTTGGAGTTTTAGTTCTTATTTTAAATGCTTTAGAATTTAGTTTTTGGATTTAAGTTTTTAATTTTAGTATTTAGTATTTAGGGTTTTGTTTTCTTTTTTTTTTAATTGATAGACATGTAGACTGTTTTCTACCCTAGTTTTGACCGATTGTAATTTATATTTTGGTTACTTTAACAGTTGGATGACTTGTTTCTGTTCAAACATTCTGTCAACAATTAAGGGAGAAGAAACGATTTCATGAGAATTTTGGAAAAAAATTAAGATTGAAACAATCAAGCAGCATCAAAACATCCGTTTTCAATCACAGATGCAAACATAGCATGTCTATTTCGAAAAAATATATATATATATATATATATATCATGTCTATCTTTTTTTTTAATACTAAGAATTTGGAGCCAAAGTCCGTATGCTCTTAGACCCAAAGCCAGAACATGTGATATTAGTTTTGTCTTCAGATATCATGTCTTTCACCATAATAGAATCCCTCATGACATTTTTTTTTTATAAATGTTCAGTAACATATATAAATAAAACCTACAAAAAGAAAAGAACAATAAGGTGTGAACATTTCAACAAATATTCTCTGAAAATACTATGAGAGCCTCAAAATCATCCAACAAATATCACTTATCACAAACCATAATAAAAATCTCTAGCTAAGAACAAAAAATAAAGAATGCATAAAACTATGTGCAAGTGTCTCAAGGCAACCACACCCACTATCCACCCTCTTTCAGACGTACACGAGCTCTACCAAACCTACGACATGAACCAAGGTGTATGCATCACCGCCTCAAAGCTCTAGCTCGTTTACAACCCTCACATGTCATTTATGTACCGCAACCATCATCATACAACAATATTTTTTTATTAGGAACCGAAAAGTTGATCTAGGTTTTTCAGATAGAAACTAGTAATATCGGTATATATAGATATAAGGACATGCATAGTTCATAATCAACTACACATGTAATGTACTTATAGATAACAAGTAAGTTTGAATATTTCATCTAAACACTCTTCTACTATGAATCGAGAGTGACAATAAGAAGCGATAAGTTATTTATCAAACATTTGATGATAAATTTAGCTTAAACACACATATACATGTTGGGAATATATTTGTAATGAAAACATTTTAGATACAAATATATTTAATGAAAATATTTCATGTACTCGTTTTATCAAATAGTGAGTTACTAATTAAAACAACATGCACTCAAGTACTCAACTGTAAGACAGATTTTTCTATACAAATATATGAGGCAATATAATTTTGTTTATCATATATTAGAACGATTGAAACTTTGATTATAGATTAATTTATTTATTTCTTACAAATATATTTATGATTGAAACTATTTAGAGTTTTGAGCGTTTACCTTATATAAAAATTTCAATGTAATTTAAATAATAATCAGGTAGTAAAATCAATTTACAACTAAAACTTCCGTTGGAGTTAGGAGGATGCGGAAAAGTAAATAAAACAATGGAAGATGGGCTCTGTCATCTGTGGCTGTAGTGACGGGCTGCTGAAATTCTTTTGATCAAAAAATTGAATAGCCCATATAGGTTAATGTTTAAATATAAGGACCAATTATTAACGAATCTTTTGCAAACTATGTGAAGAGTGGACATTATTCGGGAAATCCATTCACACCGATTTTAGATCTCTCGATCTTTTTTTAAAAAGTTATCCATGATCAGGTAAATGATTGATAAGTTGTAAGGATGTGTGTTTTGAATAGTTTGGTACTCACCAACTATTAACGCTATTGCGTGTTTATCAGTATACCTTATACTGTTTGTACATGGATAAAAGTAAGCATAGATGAAAGACACCTCTAATATGCATCTTCTTAAGTCATTTATTACAACATTATACCCAATTAGTTATAAAAATTAAAATAATCTTTTGAAAGATCGGCCTACATGAAATCACGATAGCGGACAACTCAAGCCACCATTTTGCTGTTATAGTTTTAAAATATTTCAAAACCTACATTAACAAGTGTCGGTTCAATAGTGAATATAATTTCTCAGGTAGTTGGTTTTGGTCTGAAGTCCAACTAATCTCTCAGGTGGATAATACTAACGACTAATCTGACCCAATGTTTTCTAATGAAACCTAAAACATATTACAATATTTGTTAGATAAGACAACAATAATTTAGTTCCTAACAGAAATCAAACTCGAAATCAGTAGATTTAAAGCATTCTCCTAAACCAAGTTGGTTATAGTTACAAGTGTTGGAAAGTAGTAAATATCGACTTTTCAAATTAATCTCTGACTGCTCGGACAAGTGATTAGATTTATCCAGTAAAGGAATGAAAGTGAATATTATATTCCTGATATCATATTAGTTATGTTACGCATGACCGTCTTATCTCTAATCTCCCAAAACTCGCAATCGCCGAAAGGTAAACTATTATCCGGACCTCTTCATTTTTCAACGATGAGATCAACAAAGATCCTAAGATCATATACAATGGAAATCTTTAAGAGAAAATCTTTAAAAAAAAATAATTAAATAATCAATGGATTCTGCAAGAATTTAAGGATTCAATCTTTACAATCCTCTTTTAAATACTCTTTTTAAGGAATCTTTACATTATTTGCGGACCTCACAACACGTAGCAATTTACGATTGGTTGCTATTTTAAAAAAAAAAGTTTGGAAAAAAAAAATTTAATTTTTTTTTTAAGAACTCGAATGGAGAGATGCTCTGTTTGGGTCTAGGACTAAAATGCCATAAGGTGTGGGTCCTATTTATTGGGGACGCAAATAGAAGATGATGTGGCGATCGGATCTGATGGGGTATGGGTCCTAGAACATTGGCCTTTGCCCGTGGGCAGACATAAAAGCTGTCATCACTATGAGTATGTAAACTTTGAACCAGTCGCGGCACGTTCTCATTGGTCAGCCTTGAATATCTTGTCAGTTCTTCTGAATATCAATCAAGTAAAGCATTCCCTGTACATTTCATTGCATCTCAATCAGTATATCGCCCAAACTCGGTAATAAGACACAAGGCAAAACAGTAAAGACTAATGACTCTGTTTCTTTCTTTTTTGCTTGAAATCATGTCTTGTTATTTTGATGAAATATCATTTTCTCTCCACCCACTGATAGATCTTTTTCTTTAAAAATGAAATTTCAAACAATTTTTAATGTAAATCAAAACAGTCGCATTTAATAATGTTGTTGAATTTAAGTCGGTAGGTCCAAACAAACACATGTGCTTGAATTTTCAAAATAGGGGCAAGATATGAAAATGTTTGATATGATTGATACTGAATTTCATTTCATATTCTTAAATGCCAAAATATTTATGTGCACTTATTATTTTACCAGTTTCTTTTCTTCTGAACATCTAATAACCAACAATAGTTTTTGCATATCACTTCTTTTTTTTGGTCAAACTTGCATATCACTTTGAATTTGACGATATCTGCGTGCGCATGTCTGTTTAAAGTGTTAAATCCCACTTTTCTAATGAACTATAACAAAGAATTTAAGAGTACTGACAAGTATAATTAAGCACAAAAAATAACAATACTTAATTGGCATTTTATTATTATTATTGTTAAATATCAAAACAATAATGAAGACTTGGAAGAGTCAGCGAAAGAAAATACACTTCCCTAGAAAGTCTCCAAGATATGGCATTGACAAACTATGATCATATTTTCTCTTCTTACTTTTATATCGTACACTAATATTTAAAAATGATCTAATTATTCATTTCCATGCTAGCTAATACAAAAAAAACTATTATCTTAACTTAGATCCTAAAACACCCCGGAGATATCAAGATATATATTTATCAATGCTTGGAAACCATTATATTCTCAGCTCGTGAACTCATCTCACGTCGCTTATAGCCACAAAGATCCAGCCCCATTTCTTCAAGACTTCAATCATATATTAGTAGTACACTACAAATAGATATTGTGTGCACAATATGTTGTCTGGTACTGATGTGTATATGTCGAGGAGCCGCAAGTGTTTAATCACGCCAACAAATGAGCATGACCACACATCTTCTGATGATGTAAAGCCGTCCCTTTTGCTCTCTCAAATATCCTCCAAGCTTCTTGCTGCATGGAATCTTCTTCTTGGTGCCTTTCATGATAACAAACTCTAACGAGAGAGAAGCCTTTAGTCAAAATAGAAACAAAAAAAACTCTAACGATAAAGAGTGAGAGTAAGAATGTATAGAGTATGTGTGAGTGAGGGAGAGTAGTGAGACCATATAGATGTTATGCAAAGAGAGCAAGACTTAACCTATATATACTCACATACACGTATACATCATACCCATTATAGATAATAAAAAAGAAAAAGAAACAACTAACAAGGGAACTGTATCCCATGCTTTATCTCATCATAATAATGCATGTATCAATAGGAAAAGGAGCATGATATTTTATTTCAAAAATAAAAGAGTGTCTATATCTCTCTCTTAATTAAGGATAGTGCCATGTCAACATTTCTAATAAGAAGTATTTAGCAAAAAGAAAAAAGAAATTCTAAGAAGTAGCAAGACTACAAAGGAATCTAAGCAATCCCACGCGCAATGTGTTCCTTTCTCTTGTATGATACTGTGGAGTTTGGAAGATGTCCTTGTCATTGTGCGTCGGATCAAGTCTCATTGACATCTCTAACCCTTTGTCAGTCAAATCAACTAACCCAAGATCTGAATACTTGGCTATTAAAATAACAACCGCTGATTCCTTAGTAAGACTACTTACTAATCACAATGGAAGAACTTTTTTTTTGTTGAATTTATAGAAAATGATACATGATACGTGCTAATATTAACAACTCTGTTGATACGTTTACAACTGTTTGTCGAAAAAAAATGATGTGATAAGTGTATTGTTGAAACTTCTCAACAATATTTAAAAAAAAGTATAGCTTATTATCATACGACGTGAAAAGTTGAATCAAAATATTAGGCTGTTTTTCTATTTTAATTGTAACGCAAATAGATGGATAAAGACAAATGTAAGAAACTCATTGAATGTTCATATTTCCTATTTTTTCATCTCATATATTTAATCTCGGTTATTTCATAGTAATTATATATATATATATATGTTTATATCAAATTTCATCATTTTTATATTATATAAATAAATTCTTGTTTCATTTCATTGAATACAGAAAACTCTATCTTTATACTATAATCTATAACAATGAAAAAGAAATATTTATAAATTTATATAATTAGTTTCTAATTTTTCGATTTAATTTCAAACGATAATTTTTTATTAGTATTATGAAATAACAAAACATAAAATAAAATAAAAATGAGTAAAATTAGTGAGATAAAATGTTGTTATTTTCTTAAACAAAATCATTATAGAAAATGAAAGTTGAGTTAACATTGAATTGTGATATGGAAGAAAATAAAAATGATGCATAAGAGAGAAGATGATGTGAAGTTTAAAAATGACATCATAAACATGTAATCAATGTACTTAAGATTTACTCCAAAATTCATTAACTTTAAACTAGTTAATAAGGCTGACATGACCTAGTCCACTTCTTTGCTAAACCTCTTAAACTTCACATTTTAGTTATTAATCTTTTTTTTTTCAGAGAATGCATACAAATATACTAAATTATTAGTCTACCTTCATTATAATTCCACATAGTCAATTAAAACTGTGAAATGAGGTAAATTAATCGAAATCAATCATCAGCTCTCCCTCTCTTGATTTTCTCATTTCTTCTCTGTCCGATCTCTTCTTTCATCACTACAACCATTTTGGGGGTACCCAAAGTTCTTTTTTTTTTTTTGCCAAAATGTGAATATCATATAAATATGAGAAGGGTTTGTAAACTTTACAAAAGGGGGAAAACTAAGAAAGGTTAGCCTTGGCAAAAAATAAACAAGACCAAGCTAACAGCAAAATTTTAAGTAGAATTTCCAAAGAGCTAACTCATGACCTACTCATGTCTGAGCCATTCTTGCATTAGGTGCTGAAACAGAGCAGACCTCCCTCTCCTTCCAAGGAGAGCATCCCTGATGACACGGTCAATCTTCTTGAAGATGGAGAGTGGCGTTTGGGAGACATTGTCATGGAGCCTCTTGTTCCTTTCAGTCCAGATATTGGATATGGTGGCTTGGGCAGCAGCTCGTTTGAGGGTTAAACTCACCACTGAGTCCAAAAGCCCCAACCATTCAGAGAACGCAGACCATGTGTGGAATCCCCAAAGAGTGTATCCAAGTCTGCGAAGCACATGATTCCATATAGTTTGGCTAACCTCACAGCGAAAAAATAAGTGGTCTCTAGACTCCGTTTCTGAACCACAAAGGCAGCAGAGAGGAGAAACGTTCATTCCCCATTCTACCAATCTAGCTCTGGTTGGAAGGCGATCTTGGTGTGCAACCCAGGTAGTGAAAGCATGGCGAGGGATATGACCTCTGAACCAGATGTTTTGAGTCCAGCGCTGTTCAGAGGCCCTGTGACGGACTTGGTTCCAGGTTTTAGGTGTGGAGAACTTCTGCATCTCATTCCCACCCACTTCCCACACATAAGAATCATCCGTAGCACTCAGCGAGGGGAGTGGAATGGTGGTGAGATACAGTTGTAACTCCTCAGCAGCCTGGGACCGTGCCCCCCTGAGAAGCCAGCCTTCGGTGGTGCAAGCCTGTGAGACAGAAGCACTAGCAGAGACCTGCAAATCTCTAGGGCCAAGAACTCCAAAGCGGTCAATGAGGGGACCAAGAGGGGACCAGCGATCGTACCAAAAGCTAATCTGCGTACCATTGCCGAGCTTGGCCTTGAGAAAACCTGCCGCAAGCCCTCGGAGAGAGAGGAGACTACTCCACGGTGAAGAGATAGCTTTGGAGCTATCAATCGCCCAAAAATTGCTCTCCTTGATTCTATACTCTTTGACCCAAGCTGCCCAGAGAGAATCCTTGGCAGTGAAGAGCCTCCAAATCAGCTTTAGGCAGAGGGTTTTATTCCAGCGGCCAATGTCACGAAGCCCTAAGCCACCTTCCTTCTTAGGGAGGGTCACAGTCTTCCAAGCTACCTTAGCAGTAGCCCTCTTAATCTCAGTACCACCCCAAAGAAATTGGGAGCAGAGCGCCTCGATTCTCCTGATACAGTTTTTAGGCAGTATAAAGGCCGAAGTCCAGAAGTTTATAGAGCCATAGATCACTGAAGCAAGGAGTTGCCTTCTTCCTGCAAAAGAGAGCGCTCTTGCTGCCCAGCAATTAAAATTGGAGGAGAGCTTGTCGATGAGAGGCTTGTAATCAGGAAGCTGGAGTTTCCTGTACATAAGGGGAAGGCCCAAGTACCGGATGGGCATCGAGCCAATGGTGAACCCAAGGCGAGAGATCGCTAGAGCCTCATCCCCATTTAAGCCAGCAGTGAAGAGCTCCGTTTTAGTCTTGTTCATGCGCAAGCCTGACCAAAGAGCAAAGTCCTCCATGGTTTCAGCAATGCATTTCACAGAGTCAGAGGTCCCATCTGCAAAAATCATCAGGTCATCAGCAAAGGAGAGATGTGATACCTGAAGCGCTGATGTGTGAGGATGATAGCCAATAGATCCATCAAGGTACTTTCTCCTCAGAAGTTGTGTGAAGACTTCAAGGGCGAGCACAAAGAGATAGGGTGAAAGGGGGCACCCCTGGCGAAGACCTCTTGTTCCTTTGAAGTACCCACATGACTCACCGTTAATAGCAACAGAGAACCGCGTTGTTGTTAGGCATTTCCTGATCAGGTTCCGAAACACTAAAGGGAACTCAAGGGCTTCCAGAGTGTGAAGAATAAAGTCCCAGTCAAGAGTGTCAAAAGCTTTCTGCAGATCTACCTTTAACATGCATCGCTTTGATATATTTTTCCAGTTGTAACCAGAGACAAGTTCCGTGGCAAGCAGCACATTTTCAACCAGCAAGCGACCAGGGACAAAGGCAGACTGGGAGGTAGAGATCAGGGCCGGGAGATGCTCTTTAAGTCTGTTGGCTAGGAGCTTTGCAGCGACCTTGTACACTGTGTTACAGCAGGCAATGGGGCGGAACTCAGTGACCTTATTTGCATTGGCTTTCTTAGGGACCAATATAAGAAGGGTAGCATTCCACTGCTGAAGTAGCTCCCCAGTGCGCAAGAATTCACGGACTGCATCAATAAGATCACGTCCAACAGCTCTCCAGTTACCAGTGAAAAATTCAGCCGGGAATCCATCCGGACCAGGGGATTTGTTCTTGGGGAGGGACAAGAAGGCTTTTTCAATATCCAAGTCACTGAACGGCTCTGCAATGGAAGAGATGGCATCAGCTGAGCACTTGACTTGCATAATCGAGGCAATTTCCTCAACACTAGAGGAGGTTGGCGTGTTGACTCCACCCAGCAACTGCTGGTAGTAAGCAACAACATGGCTCTTTATGCCAGCAAGCGTGTCAATGATACGGCCATCAGTGTCGAGGAGGAAGTGAATATGGTTTTGGGCCTGTCTTGCACGGATGACCCGATGGAAGAAGGCAGTACCAGCGTCACCGTCAACCGACCATTGCACCCTGGATCGTTGGAGAAGGAACTTATCTTCAGCTTTGGCCAAAGTGAGCCATTTAGCGTGGGCCTCCCTTTCTGCAGCAGCAGCATCAGGACCAGGCGAAGAGAGGGAGGTTTGTTGACAGTCTGTGAGGTGGTCAAAAGCCTCTTGAACCCGCTTTTCAAGGTCAGAGAAATTTTCTTTGTTGAAAGAGCGGATGATAGGCTTCATTTCCTTAAGCTTCTTCGAAACACAGAGCTGCTTTGACCCGTCGAAAGGCAAAGAGCTCCAAGTAGCGCGGACAAGCTCCTGGAAGTCCGGGTGGGTATTAAGGTGAGCAAAGAACCTGAAGGGACGTTTCTGAGGGGGCTTAAACTGCTCAAGGAACGTACAACAGGGGCTATGATCGGAGATACCAGGCTTCCCAAAGACTGCAATAGACTCCGGAAATGTCACCATCCAGTCCGCATTGCAGAGAACACGATCCAGTTTCTTGGAGACTGTAGAGTTGGACCAGGTGAAACTGTTTCCCCGGAATTGAAGATCAGCAAGCAAACAACTCTCAAGGCAGTCTCTAAAGTCGCGCATACCTCTGGTGGAGGTTGGGTGATCGGCTCTAGAATGCTCCGAAGGGCTGATGATTTCGTTGAAGTCCCCCTTCACAATCCAAGGTAGACCACAAAGTTGAGGTAAGCCGGAAGTAGTTACAAGCTCACTCCAAAGTAATCTGCGTTCTCTCCGACAGTTGGAGGCGTAGATAAAAGAGACTGCAAACGTGCTGGCCTGAAACGGGAGTTTAACAGTGCAGGTGATCATTTGCAGAGACTTAGAGATAATATTAACCTGCACAGAGGGCTTCCAGACGACCCAGATTTTTCCAAGCTCAGAGAACTCGTAGTTGGCCTCAAGACACCAACTGGGCAGGATGTTATTCATCAAAGGAATAGAGTTTGGCTGCTGTACATGCGTCTCAACGAGACAACCAAAAATCGGATTATATTTACGAATCCACTTCCTAAAACCACGCCGCTTTACTGAATTATTTATTCCTCTTACATTCCAGCAAAACAGATCCATGGAAAGGGGGGAGGGGTTAGAGGGTTGAAGGGCCTCTAGCCCTAGCTTTCACCTTCTCGCGTTTCTTGTATCT